CTAGAAGTAGATGGTGAATTTCTTTTTATTCCTCAAGTATTGTGGGTTGAATTGTAATCAAGCTAAGAGAAAGGTCATCCTGGATTACAATGGGCCCTAAATCCTATGACTAGTGTCCCTGTAAGGAGAGGGCTATTTAAAAAGGCAAAAGATTTATGCGATCTGAAGAGAAACCAAAGTGTAGGAGAGGGCTATTTAGAAAAGCAGAGACACGGGCACACAGAGAAGAAGGTCATGTGAGAGAAGAGGCAGTGACTGGAGGGAGGCAGATACAAGCCAAGGAACGAAAGGGACTTCCGGGAGACCCTGGATGCTCTGAAAGGCAAGGAGAATTCTGCCCTAGAGCCTTCAGAGAGAGCATGGCCCTCCCTGCTGACACCTAAGTTTTGGACTTCTAGCTCCTGAACTGTGAAATAATAAATTTCTAACATTTCAAGCCCCCCAGTTTGTGGTAATTTGTTACGGCAGCTGTAGAAAACTAACATATCAAGTATCATCCAATCACTCTATGTTTACCTGTGTATTGGAACACGATTCCCCATGGGCCTCACATTTCTGTGTATCCGGTGAGCAGAAGCACTGACAGCTTTTGATCCAGAGTATCTTTTCGAGGATGTCTGAAGAGCAAAAAGCTTGGAAGATAGAGAATCTACCTCTTGGACAGAAGGTAAACGTGTCTGCTGTCCAAGATGACAGACAGTGTCTGTCTCTGGCGTCAAGGCTGAGAAAGTTTGCTTTCAGTCCCTTCATAAGTAATTAGCATTTCCTAAGCTCCAGGTCCCTCTCCTGTAATGCAGCCCACTGCATCTGCAGGAATCACTCTGTCCTTGTTGCAATGCTCTGGGGGAACTGGGGTTTGGAAAACCAACACACATGATGATATTCTAGCTACTGGTATTGCTGTGAGTAATAAAGTGCTCTTTGTCTCAGACTCAGGAGTCTTGTGTCTTCTGTCAGCATTCATGAAACCATGGAAGACTAATTTGTTAGCTTGAGAGTAGGGTAAATTCTCGATCCTGCACAGTTCCTGACACTGTGTACCTTGACATTCAAACACCTGACCATCTTCCCTCCTGCCTCCACCATCGAGTGAGCATATGCCCCCTCCCCATCTGCTCATCAACATGTCATACAGGTAGTACAGGATCAGGTTTTTATAGTTCATGACAATTAAATGCATAGTTGGGCAGTCAAGACCAGCACACACAAATCAATTAGACTCTTGACCAGCAACATGGATATCACTGAGTGTTTGTCAGAAATGCAAAAATCTCAGATCCCACTCCAGACCTAAGGACCATTTTATCAGATTCCCAAATGATTTATGGATACACTGCCATTTGGGAAGTGCTGAATCAGAGCAGAGTAAGATGAAGAATACCTGCTTCACACGAACAATGAATCATGGAACACTTCATCTAGAACTAATGATGTAATGTATGGGGATTAACATAAGAATAAAAAAAAAAAAAAAGAATACCTGCTTCATTCAACTATGGCAGCTCAGTGACGGAAATCAGTGTCACCAGGGTTTGTGGGGAAAAGCTATAAGATTTTGGTCTTTTTGAGCCTTTAAGGAAAGGCAGAAATTGGGGGGCTAAGGGAGAAGGTGGATGAAGGCACAGAGGTCTCTGAACTCTCAACTTTATTTTGATCTAGCCAAGTCAAAAGTAAACTGAAGATTCCCAACCTCTCAAAGTCCCCCAGGACTTTGGTAGCCTTGCTAGGAGGTGGGCGACTCAGACCTGAAGGGCCTCAGAGAACAAGAAAAGGTATTGAAGCTTCTGTGATTCAGGGGAGCCTACCTCAGGCTGGGAGAAGCCTGTGGATTTTTAAGAGAAAAACTTGGTTCGTGGGAAAGACCAGGGCTGACAGTCTCTCCCACTCTTAACTGATTCTCATCTAACCTGTTACCTTTCCTTTAGTGGCCCAAATATGTTAATTTCCTCTCATCCTTTAAATAAAAATACTTCAAGAGTTAGGTTATTCTAACAGATTTTTAGGTTCCCCCACAAAAAAAATTTCTAGGGAAGGAAGTTATGTAAAGAACAGCAAGCCAAATATTACAAACAAGCTGACAGTCAGCAACATGGAAATGGTCACTGATGTCTCTTGGCTTTCCAGAACGTCTGGCCTCCCCATGCAGCAGCATCTCCATGTTAGAAAGCTTGAACCATCCCCGACCCCGGCCTCCATCCCCAACACCTGAGCGTGCCATCAGTCCTGCCAGACGGGCCACAGTATGTAGGACAAAGACAGAGACCACGGGAGCAGCTAAAAAAGGCTTAGAGCTCCTGGAAGTTTTAAGACAAATAGAAAGGTTTTCTTGTAAGAAAATTAAAATGCAAATTGCACTGTCTGCTTAATATCCTTTGGAGAATCCTAATGCTATAAATACACTATTTACTCCTAGACATGTGCATAGGTGCATAATTGTGTTAATATGCAGGAGGGCAGCTCATCCTGCTTGTTAAATCTCCCCCTACATTTTACAGCTTTACAAATGTCAGGCCGATAGGCCATAACTCTCCTATGAGGACCTCATTACCTATAAAGCATTCATATCTGCCACATAAAAGATGCAGGTGAGACGCAGATTCGTCAATTAACCCATACATCTTTATTCACCTGACTGGTCTTGCCTATTTTTTTTTTAAACAACAATTATATTTTCCTGGGAACCTTTTACAAAGTACCACTCTTTCTCTTTATTTCAATTTGGGGCCTGTAACTGTCAGTCACTTAGTGACTTTACTTTAGAAATAAAGCCACTTATTTCTTGTGGTAAGTGGGGCCCCTTCTCAAAAACAGAAAATAATAATAGTAATAATAATCCAAGTAGAGTCCCAAAATTCGAAGAGATTTTGCAGCAGTTCCAGTAGCAGGAGGTCCCCAAGTTCCTTGACTTGGCTCAGGCAAAACTGCAAAGAAGGGGAGACTTGCCTGGACTCCTCCAGGCTCTCCCCTATTGTGCTACACCCAGCCTGCCACCAACAGGCCACCTGCGGTTCTAAGGCTTGCCTCACAGACCCCCCTCTCAGGACAACGCCCTTAGTTCTGGGTCTTTCTTTACCTCCATCCCCTCAGCCCTTGTCAGAACCCATTACCTTGGCCATCAGAAACAAATGTACCCTAGAGGGTGACAAAGATTCTCTTCCTGACAAAACTCTACTCAGGTTTCCCTGAATTCTTTTCAAGTTAGGCCTGAATTTTATACTTCTGTACTCATCTCTGCACTGTCCAACTTTAGCAGGAGTCCTGCTAAGTCAGTTTAACTAGAATCCCCCCTTGTCCGCCAAATTCCAGGTGATGTCTGATCACCCTGGCCTGCCTTCAAGGAGAATCCTGTCAAGTCTTGTTCAGCTGTACTTCTCCCTTACCCTGCTCCTTGGCCATAAATTCCCACCTGCCCATGACATATTCACATTCAGAATATGTGAATCTCTCCCTCATCTCTCCCCATCACTGCCATATCCACTGCAGCAGTCCCCATGCCTGTTGAGACCGCCACCCCACCAAATCTTCCTTATGATATTTTAACTAGCGCCACAGATTTGATTTAAAAAAACAAACATACAAGAGTTAACAACCAACTTCTGGGAATGGGGAGAAGATGAACATTGGTTCAGAATCTGTGCCTACCCAGCACTCTACTACCCATATATGAGCTCCTTTAATCCTTATCATCACCCCCTAGAGAGTAGCAAATATCTTCCTTCTATTTCAAATGTGGAAATGGGTACTCAGAAAAGCTAAGCAAGGAGCCCAAGGTTGCCGGGACTCTACTGGACCTCAAAGCTGAGGCTCCCTTCCACCAAGCATTGGCACCCTCCTTCAAAGGAAGGCTCAATGTCTCTCCTTGGCTCAAACAGTAAATGAGAGCCTTTTGTAAGGCAGCCTAGTAACTATTTCATGATTACTTTCTCCTCAGGAGTAAGACATTAAACTAAAGGAATGGAATTAATGACCCTGATGGGTGAAATATTTTTCTCACCATGAAGAGACCATATTGCCTCCCCAATAGTTTTACACACAGAGAAACAATCAAATCCCCATTTGCTTTCTAAGCTGGGGGTGATGAAGAAGGGGCGCTGCTTTCCTGGTACTGAATAAATGTGGAACTCGACTCGATTTACATTTCTAAGAGGAATCGCTAAGAACATTTCTATACTCAGCCTGAATGTGAATAGGTTAATTCCCCAGGGAACACTTACAAGACTCTTACAAACAACTCCCAAGAAATTAGAATATAAGTGCCATTTTTATGACAACTCTCAAGTCCCCAGGATAAAATCTATAATGTCTTACATCTATTAAGGCAATTTATTACCAGCCTGCCTCACTTACCAGGTTCTTTAGATTTTTGAAGGACAACTTTCAGTCACTTTGCCAAAAATGTTTTATCTGTGGCAAAAACTCTTTTTCCTCTAAGGAGTATGGTTAGTCATGTAAGTCAATCATCTGAACTTGAACTGTACTGAAAATAACCCTACTGAATTTCACAATTCTTTAAAAAAATTTACTGAACATTTATTCTAAGCCAGGTACTAGACAAAGTGATCATGACTGATGTTCCATATGCTGAAGTTAAATAATAAAGCACCTGTTTGTATAGCATGTTCAAAGCATTATTAATAATAACAGCAACCATTTACTGAGCCCTAAGCACTTTTTAAAAGCTTACTTCATTTAATTGTTACAACCACCTTGATTATATGGTGTCCTTAGCCGAATCTTAGAATTGATAAGTTAGTAAGGTGGTCCCTTTAAGGACAAACTCAGCTTTTGAACCAAGTCTGTTTCAGTTCCCAGCTCATACTCTTCATCCTGGTCAAATACAGCCCTCTGGTTTATAAGACTCTACTCCATCTGCTTCCCAGAACAAGGTACTAAGAGCCATGTGAAAGGAAATTATTGTCCCCATATAGCAGATAAGAAGGCTGAGCATAAAATAATTGTTCTATATGATATAGCTGATTAGTAAGAGAATACAGACATACCCATGAGGTTCCTGATTCCAGTCCTGGGCTCTTCTCTCGAGAACATGCCAGCAACCTGAAATAGGACTCAGATTAGGCTGTGTTCCTTGGGCTCACTCTGCAACCTGCTTCCAGTAAAACTAAAGCCAGGGACATTATGAGTACCACAGTTTAACACACTGAACACTTTACAGCTTTGAAGCATGAGATATAAAGAGGAGATCAGATAGAAACACCTTTAATAGACCATGTAGCTGGCCATCAGCAGTAGTAAAGGTCGACTAGTAACCTGGCTCTCCAAAAAAAACCCAACCCTCATGTGTAAGGTCTGACAATTTCCATTGTCTAAATACACCCACCATAGCCAGCTTCAAACTACCAACATCACTGGACATGGAATGGGAAAGAGATGTACACACTAGGCTTCACAAGCCAATGGAAGCCAGTTCGAGCACCACTACCAAAGCCACCAGAAACCATCAATCTTGAATCCTTCCTTTGGAAAAACCTCATGTGTCAGCCAAAGCCATCATCTTTACAAACAAATGTCCTGGGAAGGATACAGGTAAGAGAGGTATTGATCTCAGAGTTTCTACAACATTAGACTTAAGGTCTGTGTTCTCCTGGGTGCTGGTTTCTGACAACAGGTGGAGAAAGAGCCATTGGAAAGGCAACAACAAAAGTGATGGTAGGAGACATAGGACAGGCATGTTTTATACTTGTCAGTAAATGAGATCAGACTAAAACACGAGGTGGTAGGCAGAGAGACAAAAACAGGCCCAAGAACAGGAGAAATCCATAAAGACACAAATGGATAATTCCAAGTAACCAGGACAAGATCTCAGCCTGAGATGCAGAGTAAACCTGAAAAAAACAGTTTCACCTGAGTCAATGGTCAGGTTAGCCGGTGTGCCAGGGAATGCAGCCAGAATCCTAGGGTTTGGTTACCTCACAAATCAGCCATGCCATTTAACCATCTGGGGACATAGTTTATTATGCAAGATGAGTAAGTTCTTAAGATCTGCTGTACAATATAGTACAATACTGTGAACTTTAAACTATGTTGAGGATTATAAAAAGCATCCAAACTGGTAAGGAAAAAGTAAAATTTGCACTACTTGTAGATGACATGACACTATATAAAAAACCCTAACGACCCACGAAAGAACTACTAGAACTGACAAATGAATTCAGTAAGGAAGGCTGTAGGACACAAATCAATGTACAGAAATCCATTGGATCTCTACACACTAATAATGAAGCAGTAGAAAAATAAAGAAAACACTCCCATTTACAATTGCACCAAAAATGATAAAAAACCTAGGAATAAACTTAACCAAAGAGGTGAAAGACCTGTCTTCTGAAAATTATAAAATCCCAATGAAAGAAACTGAAGATGACATCAACAAATGGAAAGACATCCTATGCTCATGGATTGGAAGAACAAATACTTTTAAAATGTTCATACTGCCCAAAGCAATCTACAGATTTAATGCAATCCCTATTAAAATACCAACAGCATTTTTCACAGAACTAGGGAAAAAAATCCTAAAATTTTACGGAAACAAAAAGGACTCCAAGTAGCCAAAGCACTCTTGAACAAGAAAAACAAAACTGGAGACACCACAATTCCAGATTTCAAGTTACATTACAAGGCTGTAGTAATCAAAATAGTATGGTACTGGCACAAAAACAGACACATGGATCAATAGATCAGAACAGAAAACCCAGAAATAATCCCAAGCTTTATGGTCAATTAGTCTACCACAAAGGAGGCAAGAATATACAATGGGAAAAAGACAGTCTCTTCAGCAAATGGTATTGAGAAAATGGGACAGTTACATGTAAAAGAGTGAAACTGGACCATTTTCTTACCCCATACACAAGAATGAACTCAAAATGGATTAAGGATCTAAAGATGGGACCTGAAACCATAAAAATCCTAGAAAAGAACACAGGCAGTAATTTCTCTGACACTGGCCATAACAATATCTTTCTAGATAGGTCTCCTGAGGCAAGGGAAACAAAAGCAAAAAAAAATTATTGGGGCTACATCAAAATAAAAAGCTTCTGAGAGCAAAAGAAACAACCAACAAAACTAAATGAGAACCTAGTGAATGGAAGAAGATATTTGCAAATGATATGTCTGATAAAGGCTTAGTATCTAAAATATAAAAGAACTTATACAACTCAACACCCCAAAAAACAAATACTCCAATTAAAAAGTGGGCAGAGACATGAACAGACATTTGTCCAAAGATCGCCAGATGGCCAACAGACACATGAAAAGATGCTCAACGTCACTCATCATCAGGGAAATGCAAATCAAAACCACAGTGCGATAACATCTCACACCTGTCAGAATGGCTAAAGTAAAAAAATGCAAGAAACAACAAATGTTGGTGAGGATGTGGATAAAAAGGAACCTTCATGCACTGTTGGTGGGTATACCAACTGAGGTAGCCACTGTGGAGGACAGTATGGAGGTCCCTCAAAAAATTAAAAATAGAACTACCCTATGACCCAACAATCACACTACTGTATGCCCAAAGTATACAAAGACACTAATTCAAAAGGATACATGCACTCCTACATTTCTTGCAGCATTATCAAATTATGGAAGCAACCTAAGTGTCCGTCAGTAGATAAATGGAAAAAGAATAGGTGCTATATAAATATACAATGGAAAATTATTCAGCCATAAAAAATAATGAAATCCTGTCATTTGCAACAACGTGGATGAATCTTGAGAGTATAATGCTAAGAGAAATAAGCCAGTCAGAGAAAGACAAACATCATATAATTTCACTCATACACAGAATTTAAGAAACAAAACAAATGAACGAAGGAAAAAAAAGAGAAACCAAAAAACAGACTCTTAACATAGAGAAGAAACAGATCATTACCAGAGCGGAGGTGTGTGAGGGGATGGGTGAAATAGGCAAAGGGGATTTAAGAGTCCACTTATCCTGATAAGCACAGAGTAATATATGGAATTGCTGAATCACTATATTGTACATCTGAAACAAATATAACACCATATATTAACTACACTGGAATTAAAATTTTTAAAAATATTGAGAATAGATCTCCTATGTTCACACCACTACTACCACCACCAACAAAAAAAGAACATTTTTGGAAGGATAGGTTTGATACATTGGTGGTGGTGATGGTTATCACAGGTGTATGTGTGTTCCAAACTCATCAAGACAGATAGATATGTGAATTTTTTTGTATCAATTATACTTCAATAAATATACATATACACCCACTTTTTTAAAGCACTTTCTCTTATTTTCCAGTCTGGCTGGGTCCCCTTGCAGACATGAGAACACAGGGCAGAGGCCAAGTGACAAGTTCATCATCCCGGAAGGTGCAGAACCTTTCCACGAAGCAGTCACTACAGACATTCCTTGTCATCATGCAACTCCTTTCTTGTATCCTGTCCCTTGTGTGATCCTGGGCTTTTCCTCTCACGTGGCTCCTCCCTGTCATTCCCACGCCACAGGCAGCCCCTTGGTGCGAACCGTGTGGAGGCGGACTTGTCCTCCCAACTCTGCCAGAGGCGGTCACTTGGGTAAAAAAGGCCAAGGTCAGAGAGACCACACTGCCTGTGCAGCAACCTCCTTACTAGTCCCGTGGGAACTCTGACTAGGAAAGGGGAGCATGGTTTGAAGAGAGTGGGCGGAATAAAAGGAAAAGCAACAAGAGCAGAGAATAAACAACTTAGATTGCTTCCCTCCCTTGGTCAGCTGGGCATGCAGCTTCCACCACCTCTCCAGAGAACCCAAGGTCCTCTTCACTTGTCAACTCTCCTTCCCTAAATGCCTGGGCCTAGCAAGACTCTCTCCACCCTGGAAGTCAGTATTTCCAAAGAAGGAGGCTTCCTACTATCACCTCCAGAGCAGATGGTCGCTAATTGCCACAAGTAAACAAACACAAGCTGTGACAGATACATCTTGTAGCACTGAATATCATTAATTTTCAAGAACACCAGGGGCACCCATTCCCAATTAGTGGAGGGAGCGAGGCTCAAAGAACTGAAGGGGCCTTGCAGGGCTGGCGATGCAGGGGGCCTGACTCCTATCCTGCTGGCCCCAGACCTGATAGGAGAAATTCAAGAAGCCACTTAACCTTGTTGCTTTTGTTTTCTCATCTGTGAAACAGTAGGTAATAAAATCCCTCTGCTTCCTCACAGGGTTTTATGTGAGTGAACTAATTAATGATTGTATAAAGCCTAATACAATGCAACATATAATTTAAAAGTTTAATCATCAAGATAATAGTCCAATAATAGTAAGTTGCAAAGCAGTGATAAACAGCACTTTAAAAATGCAGATATTGCCGTTTTGATATTTTCTCTCTGATCTGCATATTCAAATTAGTAGCATATATAATTTCAGTTTTATGCCCATTTTTATAATATTGTTTAATCCTACAAAGCTTCTTCCTCTATTGTTTTAACGGATATTTCAACCAAGCAGAGAATTGCTATAGATTCCGGTAATAACTGGACATTCTAACTATAAGCTTTTATGCTCACGAGTCTTCACACCAAACTAGATGGTCAAAGATATTCCCACCCCTTACACAGTTGGAGAACTCACTACTTGCCTTACCATTTTCCCTATTAGATAGAAGGAGGTCCTGTCAGTCATAATTTCTTACCCCTTTGACCTATGTGGTGTTCCAGAAAGTTCATATTTTGCCTTTCCCTTTATCTAAGCCATTGACGAGTTGTTCTCTGCTCCTGGAATGCCCTCTACCCTCCTTCACAGCATGTTTCTTTCTGGAAAGTTCCTACTCCTTTTTCAAAAGGTACAATAAGCCTGGGGTGCCTGGGTGGCTCAATCGGTTAAGCGTCCAATGCTTGATTTCAGCTCAGGTCATGATCTCAGGGTTGTGACACAGAGCCTCACATTGGGCTCCATGCTCAGCGGGTAGGCTGCTGGAGATTTTCTCTCTCTCCCCCCCCCACTCTGCCACTCCTCCCACCCATGCTCTCTCAATCTCTCCCTCAAATAAATAAATAAATCTTTTTTTAAAAACAGGTACATTAAGCCTTA